GTGGTAGAGCGCGCCCCTGATAATTGCGTCGTTGTGCCTGGGCTGTGAGGGCTCTCAGCCACATGGATAGTTCAATGTGCTCATCAGCGCCTGACCCTGAGATGTGGATCATCCAAGGCACATTAGCATGGCGTAACGAAATTATGGTATTTTCATACTTATAACTTACCAAAGAAGTTTAATTTTAAAACTATAAAGATTTCTTGAATATGATTTTTAGAATTATTCAACAAGATGATAAATATTTATTAAATTTTGCGAATCATGAAAAATAATAATTGATTATTAATCGTTATATTTCACCTTTCAAAGTTTCAATCTCTCATCTAAGAAATAGGATATAGATTCTATTATTCCTATGTCCAAACTCTATTTTGTTGTATGACTAAATAATATTCCCACTAGAGCTGTCAAAGCGAGTTGATTCATCCCGTTAAGCCCGTTTTGTGATAGGCAAAATATATTTTGACATATAGTTAGTTGGTCCACACGACCCGCAGATAGCATATATGAAAACACAAATCCGTCCCGCGAATGTATGCTGATTTGCGGGGTTGTCCGTAGATTTTGTTTAAATAATTTTAAAGTAACGAAATTTTTAAATACTACTAAAAAAAAAAAAAAATTAGAGGAAATAATTTTATATCTCATTATATTTATAAATATTATAATTTCATTTATTAAAAGTTTTTTTAAATTACCAAATGTTGAATAAATTATATTTTTATCAATAAATACTAACATGCGGGATGATCCGCCAACCCGCGGACGAAAACCGAAAAAATCCTATGATCCACTGCGAATCAATCCGTGTGGCCCGTTTATTTACGGGTTTAATATATTTTCACAAATATGCCCCGTAGTGAGCTGATTTGGGCTCGACCCACGGTTTTTGACCTATTTTTACTGCTCTAATTCCTATGAATCATCTAATTTTAGAATTCTAAAACATAAAATTCTATTTTTAATCATAATTAATATGATCGGTTTAATTATAAACAATTTAACATTTTCTCTACAATTCGTTATTATGAATATTTATAAGTACACTATCCGATTCGCTTTACTTAAAACACGCACTATTAAAATCAACGTATGTAAACCAATATTCTCCCGCGGTGGACCGCGGATCCGATCCTAGTGGTGTTGATAAATTACAACACCAAATTTGCCACATCCTTTACAACATTTATTAAAACAACCATTGCACTATCTTCAACTGTTGAATACTTTTTTCAACATACCCTAAGAGCATCCACAGTGGTATACGTTAGAGGATAGATGTTAGGGAAATTAAATTAGTAAAATAATATTAAGAGGTTTAGTTTAGAAACTATGTAATAAGAGTTGACTATGAGAGACGAGACTCGAGAGAGGAGGAAGGGAAGGAATCGATTTTGTTTTTCCCCAACAAATAAAAATCATTTTTTCAATAACAAAATTGGAACCAATCAAACTTTGACAGCTGGCACTTACACCCGGATGTAAACTAACACGCGACTTCCGACTCCAGGCTCACTATTCCCTTATTTCCGTTTTTTTTTATTCCTTACACCCGGGTGAAAAATGTCCCACTGTGTATGGTCTAAGTAGTCTAATAAGATTCTACTTAAATGCGAATATAACACCTTACTAAATAAATTAAAATTTAAAGTTTAAGCAAATTAGGTATATACCCTGTTCTAAAAATCCCCGATTACTCCCCGCTTAATCGCTAGGCCCACCCTATCCGCCTCGATTAATGACAAATCCCCTAAAAAATCAGTAACCCGATTATTCTCCGCCTAATCCGATTACTTCCCGCCTAATCTTATATACCCCGATTATTTTTTAGATTGCAAGTATAAAAAAACTTTTTATTTTTGTTATTCAATCATTTGAATGGAGAGTTTGTGATGTTTTACAATAACTTGTGTTCAAATTTTAATAAAAATCATAAATTTGTAATAAAAATCATAAATTTTTACAATATTGGATTAATATATTTTAAAAATATTAAAATAACCCTAAAACTAATCCCCGATTTTAATCCGATTTTCCGATTAATCGCTAGGCCCATGCCGAGCTCCCGACTAGCGTCTAGCGATTTTTCAAAAAAAGGTATATACGAAGAGAATATATTTTAAAAAAATATATAAAATTCCAATTAAATGCTAATATTATAGAAAGAGAAGAGAAAACCCTAAAATCCATCTTCGTTGTCGTTCCGTCTGCTTTAACATCGGAAAGTTTTCATCTTTTTCGTTTTCGTGGTGGCGATTTCTATTCTCCGGCTGAAACCTACCTTCAGGATTCAGCCTTTCTCAGGTACTGTTCTTCCATCTCCATCGGCTTCAATTTTACTGATGAATTCATCTCCGAACTAGGCATGCCAATATTTATCAGTACTGATTGTGTATAAGGTTAAGTTTAGGATTTGTGGAGCTTGATGGGTGTTTATTGTTAATTGGGTTGTTGGTTCTTCTGGATGATTGTTGTGTAATTTGTCACTAATTGGGTTAAATTACACTATGATCAATCAAACTCTGTTTGCTATATTCTTTTGTATGATTGATGCTGTTTAAAACCTGAATCCTTTCATGAATTTCTATTGCCAACACAAGCAATTCGCAAAGTCGGTGATAATAACCTAATCAAGCTCTAAGTTTTGGAACGAACAGAGTGTTTTTGTTCAGTTTGATATCTTTATTAGATCATGAAACTTATGGTTTCTGGCTTGCTTGAGAATTAACTTGTAATCAGGCTCTATGATGTTCTTAAGCTGCGAAGCCTTGATCTTAAAAGTAATTGTACGAATGTCTTGGGCTATTATGAATTTCTCGTGCTTGTTGCAAGTTTATTATGAACTTGTTAGACACTTAAGATCATGTATATCATTATATCACTATACTGAAAATACCGTATTAAATTGTTGAGAAGATTTTTGTTGCATTTTACCTCCACGATATATAACTAATGTATGATCTAGATTTAAGCATCACCAGTGAGAGCTTTTATTCTGAGAAGATCTTTGTTTCATCTTTCTGATGTTATGTGGCTGCTTGTGCAGGTTTTCTGTTGGATTCAGATAGCAGCTCGTACTTGTTCTAGATACTCGGTAACAAATATGGATGATTGGGGTAAGATTTACATTAAGAATTGTTTAAACACGATATATATGTGTGTGCATTAATCTCCCTGACTATGTAAAATAGTTGTACTGGCTGTATACAGCTATATATATATATATATATTAGTATGTTCTCTAAGATGTTAGGTTTTATTGAAGTTTCCATATAGAAAATTTATTAGAGTTCTCACTTTTAGGTTTCCTTTCTGATTTCAGAGGCCGAGGACTTTCAACCACTTCCTGCAAAAGTTGAACTGAAAAGTAACTGGGATGATGAGGATGTGGATGAGAATGATATCAAGGACTCGTGGGAGGAGGAAGATGTATCTGCTCCGGTATAGTTTTCTTTCATTATATACTTTTTATCATTGGATTGTGTTTCTTATTTGATATTGAGATTGCGGCTAACAATCTTTGTTTCTCCTGTAGCCACCTGTAGTAAAGCCTGCTTCTGAGAATGCTCCAAAGAAAGCAGCAGTAAAAGCTGTTGAAAAGAAGGTTAAAACTGTTGAAGCTCCAAAAGGATCATCAAGGGAAGAACCTCTAGATCCTATTGCTGAGAAACTTCGCATGCAGAGGTAGAGTTTAGAAATATTGCTTTCTACTGGTGGTTTTGCATTTTTTTGGTTCAACGTATGTGGTTGTGGCCTTATGAAGGCCATTGTGCTAAATTTTAATATTCTTCTTACCTTAGGCTCGTGGAGGAAGCTGATTACCAGGCAACTGCTGAACTCTTTGGAGTAAAGACTGAAGAGAAAAGCGTCGATATGTTAATTCCTAAGTCTGAAAGCGATTTCTTGGATTATGCTGAGTTGATATCTCAGAGACTCGTACCATTTGAGGTATGCTATTTTATTTGTACATGACCAAATACCATTTTAAGACCAATTGGCCCACATTTTAACTAGCTCTGCTGTTTCGCAGAAAAGTTTTCACTATATCGGGCTACTCAAAGCAGTGATGAGACTTTCTGTGGCGAATATGAAAGCAGCAGATGTTAAAGACGTTGCTTCGTCCATTACAGCTATAGCAAATGAAAAATTGAAGGCGGAGAAAGAAGCTGCTGCTGGCAAAAAGAAGTCAGGTACACACAATCAGCCTTTGTAGATGTTTTTAAACTAAGCAAGCATGTCTCTGTTTCTAAAATGATCAGATCATAATGTTTTTTTCTTTCTTTCTTTCTTTTCACTGTGTTTACTAGGTAAGAAGAAGCAACTTCATGTGGATAAGCCTGACGATGATCTTGTTGGGGGTCCTTATGATGCTATGGATGATGATGATTTCATGTGAGAAAATGGCATTTTGGAGATTGCATTTCACCTCCTATAGGATTGTAACTGAGAAGAGGTTTAAATCGTCGGCAGTTTTTTGTTTAGTTATATACTGAATTCCAACAGTGTTCCTTTTCTCGGTTTTCTTTGCTCAGTTTGATTTGAAAAATTGTGTGATAAGATTTTTTTTGTGGGCAAACTTTTATCAATTATATGAATTGAACGAGCACTAAGATCTACAAGAACATATATATATATATATAAACACAGAGACCAACCAGATTGGAACGTGTTTATCCCTCTCTTCAAAACCGTCCTTAGCTTCCTATATCGCTGAACCGTAAAGCCTCTACGCCTGACTCGATTTAACTAGCTTTTTGTCATCGAAAACCGAAAACGGGACCATCGACTTGTCGAAAGTAAGGTTGTGAACCAGAGGGAACAGATTCCTCCACTGCTTTGAGAGAACTGATGTGGAAGCAGCAATTTTGGTAGGGCACTGATGTAATCTCCAGACGCAGTTTCTATCTTTTTTTGGGAGCCATAGCCACAGAAATGTACCTGAATACCATAGTCAATTGGGGGAAGCTCGTATATCTGTTAAATTACACAATGTATGATTTGATCTTTAAGAGCAATATACTTAGAATTCAAAGCCGCATATATATATTTAGTAAGATAGTTTTTGGAGAGTGAAGAGCTCACTACAAGAGACCTAAACATGTAAAGACAAATCAATATGTAGAGAATCAAAAGAATTGGATCTTGCACTTGGAAGAAGTTTCGGGGAGAAGCTTCATTAGTTTATTGGTGAGTGGTAAGAACTTATCTTGCTGATCCACTTGAACCTTAACTTTCACAACTTCAAGGCATTTTAAATTCTCAATGAAATGTCTCATCTGTTGCATTTCTCTCCATCTTCCTCCATACCCATATATCTTCAGCACCTTCACTCGACACGACAATAAACAACACCTTTTCTTCGTTTTTATCTTCTTGTGAACACATACATTCCCACATTCATCTGTGATCTCATGCACAAGACCCTGAGAGGATAACAAACGCCAGAGTTAGCAAGGAAAAAGAGTGTTACATTTGCTGGTTCGTTTTCATACATACCTTGCTGACTAGAGTTTCTAAGTTTGGAGATTTCTTGAGCAGAAGTGGTAATACTTGCCAACCGCGTTCCTTGTGGCTCTCAAATGATAACTTAACGAGGTTGTTGAAATCGGGCATAGACATAGAACAGGAGTAAAACACCTGATGATCATACAAACCAATTATCAAACTAAGTCATGTCTATAACATTTGCAACAAAGCAAAAATAGAACTAGGAAACTGACCTCAAGAGAATCAGCAGACAAGTGAAGGGTCACAACATTCCTTAACGCTGCAATGAATTTGGTTGCATCACCCCAAGGACCATCCGTTGAAGGATCATACCCATAATATAAAGCTTTTGGTGGGAGAAAATCATAATACTTCCATAATCGAAGATCTAGTCTAGCTTCGACAAGCGAATCAAACTGAACAACATAATCCTCTGCCACATAACTAGAGTAATCGAGGTACACAAGATTGGGAGTCTTAATAACAAAACATGAATGGTCTTTCATATTATGAGAACGGTAAAAAATGGACATCCTTCGAATAGATGAACCCGAAACCTGTTTCACCCAACCCGCTCTATGAGGATGATCATCACATATGTTGAATTCCTCAAGCAAAGGGCTAGCGAGAAGGCACTCATACAAATCAACAGGTGCATTGGCAGGAAAACACACTAAAACCAAAGAGAGAGTTTTGAGTGCAGGGAAAAGAACACCTCCTGAAGGAAGTTTGGTTTGGTAATAACATCCATTGGATAGAGTGAGTTTAACCAAATTCTTGCTAAAGAACTCAGGCAATAGACATTGACATACTGATGATGACAAGTGTAGCTCCAAGACTCCATTTTCTAACACACTGTAAATGATATGGTTGATGTTTTGTAGAGAACTCCATTTCAAAGAGACTTTCTTGATGGGAGAATTACGTAACAAGACGAGGGTTTTCTCCATGAAATCAAGGTAGCTGCTGCGACCAGTTACGATGAATGGATCAAAATCAAGGTTGTGAACAAGAGGAAACAGATTTCTCCATCGCTTTGAGAGAACTGTTGTGGAAGCTGCAGTTTTTGTAGGGAGAAGAGACAGAATCTGTCCCAAAACATCATCTGGTAGGGTACTGATTGAATCTCTAGAAGACGTTTTCACTTTTTTGGTAGCCATAGAAGAAGAACCTGCGAAACAGATTCAATTAGGACTAAATGAAGAAAACCCTCTTCAACAAACAAGATATTTACACAGATTATGACAAAATCAAGAAGATTTAGATCCAGAGAGGAAAAAAAGTTTATACCTTTGAGGATATAAACCAAGACAATACGAAAAAGACTGAAACTTTGTAGATCTAGAAACAAGAATCGTAGATGTGTAAATTCAAGTGTGGTTACAAAACTAGAAGAAGATCGAAACAAATTAAGAATCGAGTGTTTGAATAAATGGGCCTTTGGGCTTTTTACAGTGTACTTAGAATCGATTCCAGCTATGGGGATTTTGTTAAACTAGTTTTACATAAGTTAAATGGTTGAGAAGATTAAATTCCTGTCAATGCCATCTAATTAATTTTTTTATATTTAATTATAAAAACTAATCTGCCACCAAAACGAAATTATATATCGGTTTGGGTTATAAGAGAGAGTTAGAGTTTAGATTTTATAATTAAACGAAGTTAAAAATCAGTTTGAATTTATAAACAGATTTAGATTTTACGATTAAACAAAATTAAACGCCGGTTTGAGTTTATAAACATGTTTAGATTTTATAAGTAAACGAGGTTAAATATCGATCTGGGTTTAGAAAGAACGGTTAGGGTTTAGGTTTTACAATTAAACGAGGTTAAATGTCGGTTTGAGATTACAAAAGAGAATTAAATATTAGATTTTGTAATTAAACGAGGTTAAATATCGGTTTGGGTTTATAAACATGTTTAGATTACAACTAAACAAGGTTAAATATCGGTTTGAGTTTAGAAAGAACGGTTAGGATATAGATTTTACAATTAAACGAGGTTAAATGTCGGTTTGGGTTTACAAAGAAGAATTAGGATTTAGATTTTGTAATTAAACGAGAATATATATATATATATATATATCGGTTTGAGTTTATAAAAGAGTAGTTAGGTTTAAATTTTATAATTAAATGATTTTTTTTTTTAAATTAGATGACAGATTTTGATTGGCTGAAATAAAAGGAGGTGAAAAAAAGAGTTCACCCCTAGAGGTGAACCCAAGTATTGTTCTTCCGAATCGGGTGAAAAAAGAGAGAATTATGGGAGGCAAACAAAAAGATTTGGAAGAGAACGAAGAAAAAATGTAAGTGGACAAGTTTTCATAAAGAAAAAGAGTTTCAAAACTAGAAGAGATGTACTGTATATTCGAGGCAGGCCCGTGGCTACGAAGGAAAAATAGAAACATTGGCCTACGGCCATTTTTAAAAAAAAATCAACTAAGCTTCTAACTTTTGTTTTCATATTGGTTTAGTGCTTTTTGTTTATTAATACAAGATTTGATAAAACATAAACAAAGAAAATGAGACTACGTTTTAAATTAGTAATTATGAGTTATGATTTACAAACTAAATTATAACTTATAGTTTTTCAAAATAAATAAATAATTATAACTTATAAAAGAGACTATAACTACATTTTGGGTTTTCTTACTCAATTTGTTTGGAATGATGATGATTAGTAGTTTATAAACTTTGTTTTATATATCTAGGTAGCGTTTAGTTTTGGGGAAAATCCTAAATCCTTCGAAAAAATATGGTTAACATGCACCTCTAATTTGATTTCCCATTTATAAGAGGACTATTAACCCGCTTTGGTCTCACATATTATTTTTTTTCAAAAAATTATTTTATATGGGTTGAGGTTTTTATAACATCGCCTCTGGTGTCTGTAATCCTAGACACGGCTCTGATTCGAGGGATAAGTATACAAATAAGCATCGTATATACCCCATGCTCTATGCAATAGTGAAATTAACAACAATACGAGTTGCAGGGGCGGAGGTACATGGTGCTTAGGGGGGTCAATTGACCCCAATAAATTATAATAATTTCATTGTATTAGGTTAATAACAATTATAATGACCCCACTGTAAAATAATTTTTGACCCCTATGCAAAAAAATTAAACCAACTAACACATAAAAAAATAAAGAGAAGTTAATCTACTTGTATTCATGTAAAGATTTAAGAATAGATAGTAGTGTAATTAACTATGATTTACATAAAAAGTTAAAAATCTACCGAACTAGTTTTTGTTTCTTTTCTAACTAACACAAACAAAAAAAAAATTCTTTTGAATCATCGTCAACAAACCATAAACAATTATATAATTTATTTTGACCCCGATAACAAAATTTTCTACCTCCGCCACTGATAATACGAGGCATGTTCAAAAGATGCAATTTTTTTTTATCACATATAACTATTAACACCAACCTTTATAGTCTTGAAAAGCATTGTTGTTAAATACAATTGTTTGGATGTGTAGCAAGCAATGGGTTCATTTTCGCCTCTCTATCCACCTAAGGATTTTCCAACTCGAAGTGATGGATTATTTCCCATTTACTTTCGGGCCAAATCATACATATAAAAGTAAGGTTTCACTCTCTTCTTATTGGTCCATTTAGAAATGTAACTTAAATTTTTTTATTTTTAATTAAATCATAAATCATACACATTTAACTCACACTTTAATATAAAAACTGAAATCATTAAAATTATACATTAACTATATTTTTCCACTAAATTTTATTCAACACACAATAAATTAGAATTGTAACTCCCATAATTTATTTATTTTAATTGTAACTTATCTCACTTCTCATCCTATAAATACTCATTTTTCATTCTCTCATAATCTCATCCTCTCACCCTCTTCTACTATAGTTCTAATCTTAAATATTTTTTTGTTTTGTGTTCTCACATTAGTTTTTTTTTTTTTTTTTTTTTTGAAAGATGCATCTTCATTCTCTATTTTAGATAATCATCTTATAAGTAATCATTCTCTCATCTTTTTCTACTATATTTATGTGTCTATTTTTTATGTTGTTATATGGATTAAAAATCGAGAATATGATTTTAAATTTATTTTAGAATGTATTATATATATATATATCTAATATTGTATTCATTTTTTGTATATTTCTAAAGCCATACTAAAATATACTTATTTATTCTTTAATTTTTATATTTTTAGTTTAAATTCACATATGTATACTAAAAGTTTTGATGGTTGTAACAAAATTTTCAGGTTTATTGGTGATGGAGAGTTAAACATATCAATTCCAATCATAGCACAACAAGAAAATGAAGTTGAAAATATCCATTTCCATTATCTACTTTAGATGTTTGATTATTTTCTAATATATTCATGTAATTTTTTAATGAATTAAATTATTGTAATACATTTATTAAATATATATTTCATACATTTTTCTTATCTCGAATAAATTTTGTAATTTATTTTTAATATATGTATTATTATATTTACTTTTTGTGATCCAATAGATAATTATATAAAAATCATTATACTTTATTTTATTTACAATTTGAGGTTTAAGTATTTTTTCAAATTAAAAAGAATATCGTTAAAAAAAATTTGGCCCTTAAGATTAAAAAAACTAATCATATGGTTCAAGAAAATTAAATTTAGGTAGAATAGAAAATTAGAATGAAATCATTAGAATGAAATCTAACACTCATACTTAAATAGAGTGAAATATACAAGAAAATAACTATAATTAAAATAAAATTATTTTATTAAATCCTATAAAGATAAAACCATTAGTATAAAATCTAGCACTAGAATTTAAATTGATGAGTGAAATTATGAAGAAAAAAAAAGATAGAAGTTATCCTTGGATCTTTGATGATTTTAATTAGATTGAAGTTCATATGATTTTTATAAGAAAAATAAATTTAGTTTGCCACTTGCATAATAATATGAATTTGAACTATTATGTGGGAATATATATCAACAAACAAACAAATTATCTGTGAATTACAATTTATTTTGTAAAAGTAATAGACAACATATGTTTATTGATGTTTACATACATAAATAATAGTAAAGTAAAAAACAATACTAAAATATGAGCAAATGAAAGATATCAAAATAAGAGCCTTCAAATAAACTTTCAATCATATTTATATTAAAACAAATGTCATCCACATCATTAGCATGTAATAATTTAAGATTTTTCTATAATAATTATATTTTATGTATCTCTCATATTTTGTAACCTCCATACTAATAATTATCGTTATGGTGTTAATGCTCACACTAAATTGCAACAATACTTTAAATACAATTAATACAAAATGAATTCTATACAATGAATTCTTTGAAATGTAACATAACTTCCATGATATACATACAATTAACTTACTCATAAATAACATTTAAACATAATTGCTAAAGTTGAATAGTTGTAAAACATAAATATGTTGTCTTCTATAAATAGTAATATACACATATCACTGTGGATGTCGGAATCCGCAATACAAATTTTATGATGTGTGTCGGGTCGTCTAGCCTTGCTAATTCGAACAACAATCGTCAAAAAGAAAAAAAAAGAGTAAAGTGTATGTCTCTGTTTATTGCCCAAGAAAATCCGTCCCATTACAATGGTTTGAGAGATCCGACACCAACAGTTTGCCCCCCAAGTGTTCCGAAGTGAACACTTCGCACTTCGGAATACTTTAAATGCTGAACTTTTTCTCAGGCTCGGAGATTTCGTCGTTAATCCCGCTTTTCCCGGGATTTGGTTCTCAACCGAAGTGACGTTTCGAGATCCTAAGGTATATTTTTTTCGCGGATCGAGGGATTTCCCTCGGGAAGGTAAAGATGCTTCAAGATCCTAGGGTTTCTCACTTTGCCGCCCAATGACCCTTTATATAATCATTAGACTCTTCGGGTTCTGCAAACGCACACGTCCTCATCTTCTTCAAACCGCTTCTGCTCCTCTCCGTATTTAAAGGTAACTCCCTCTTCTCTCTACTTCTACCTCTTCTTTGATCTTAAACTGTTTTTATAGTTCCGGAATTGTTAAGTAGTCCGCCGTCCTAGCTAGTAATCGTTAGGTTTAGGCCAGAAATCTAAAAGATTTCTTAGATTTTCAGCCGTTTGCTCGAAGATTCCCGCTGTTCTTCTTCCGCTCCGCCGTGTTCTTTGTATTCCGGCGATCCGTGTTCATTCCCCGAAGAACATCCACCGCTGGATCTACCTGTTTTCTGGGTTTCCACAAAGATCTTCGGAGTCTACTCAAGCGTGTTCTTGAGTTGTTCTTGAAATATCTTCCCAAATCCCTGGTACCAGATCTTGTTTCGTCTCTACATTTTCCTTGATTGTGTTATGGCTCCGAAGCGAAGCAGGAAAATCCAGAATGAGACCC